TTTGTATGAATTTTTGATCTCTCTGATTATAAAGTGCTCTTTTCACTTCACCTGATGAAAGCTTGTGATTTAAATTAACCTGTTGGACTATAACCTGGTGTTGTGTGACTTTTGGCTCTGTCCACCCCAGTCCAACAGCAGCCCCTGTACATCATGGCTACTGAGTGCAAGTTGAAGGACTGATGTTTGAGATGTGGTGTCAATCAAGTGGACTGCTTCGTCTTGGATTGTGTCAAGCTTCTTGTGTGCTGTCAGAGCTGTACTCATCAATGCAGGTGGAGAGTATTCTATCACATTCCTGACGAGTGCCTTGTAGACACAAGGTGGCCAGGCTTTGAGAGTCAGGAGGCCAGTTGATAATGAGTCCTGAAGAAGGGTAATACCCAAAATGTTGACTGCTCCTTTCCTCCAGATGCTGCCTAGCTTGTTTTATTCTTCTAGCCTCTTGTTTGTCTACTCACTGCAGGATGCCTTGCCTCTAACCCATTCTTATGATAACAGTTGAGCTTCAGGTCAATGGTAACCCTCTTAGTATGTTGATAATTAGGGTTTAAAGATGATGATGATGCCACTGAACATCAAGGCCAGATAATTAGATTCTCTTGTTGGAAATTGCCATTGTCTGGTCCTTACTTGGCAGGAGGCGGTGATCTAGTGGTATTATTGCTGGACTTTTAATCCAGAGACCCAGATAATGTTCTGGGGACCTGGGCTCAAATCCAGCCACGGCAGATGGTGGAATTTGGAATTCAATAAATATCTGGAATTAAGAGTCTAATGATGACCATGAATCCATTGTCGATTGTCAGGAAAAACCCACCTGGTTCACTAATATCCTTCAGGGAAGGAAACTGCCACCTTTACTTGGTCTGGCCTACATGTGACTCCAGACCAACAGCAATGTGATTGATTCTAACTGCCCTCTGGGGCAATTGGGGGTGGGTAATAAATACTGCACAGCTAGTGACGCCCTCATCCCGTAAATGAATTAAGAAAACGCTTTTTGTCACTTATCAGCCGAGCCTGGATGTTGTTTAGGCCTTGCTTCATCTGGAAATGGTTTGGCTCATTATCTGAGATATCCTGAGTAGCACTGAATGTTGCGTAAACATCAGTGAACAACCCCACTGCTGACCATTTTTAAAATTTGTTCACGAGATGTGGGTACCACTAGCTAGGCCAGCATATTTTGCCAATGTCGAACTGCCCAGAAGTCAATTACATTGTTGTGGCTCTGGAGTCACGTGTAGGCCAGATCAAGTAAGAATGGCAAAATCCTTCCCTAAAGGACATTAGCGAACCAGAAGGGCTTTTACAACAATTGACAGTGGTTACATGGTCACTCTTATTCCAGATTTTTAAAAGAATTCATCATCTGTCATGTTGGGATTCAATCTCATGTCCTCAGAACATTAACCTGGATCTCTGGATTACTGGTCCAGTGACATTACCAATATACCACCACATTCTCTTCTGATAGAGAGAAGGTCATTGATGAAGCAGCTAAAGATGGCTGGGGCTTGGACACCACCCTGAGGAACTCCTGCACAGATCTCCTGGAGCTGAGATGATTGACTACAAATCACCACAACCATCTTCGTTTGTGCTTAGATTGATTACAACCAATGGAGAGCTTTACTTCTGATTCTTATTGACTCCAGTTTTGCTAGAATTCCTTGATGCCATACTCAGCCAAATGCTACCTCACTGTCAAGGGCAATCAGTCCCATCTTACCTCTTTAGTTCAGCTCTTTTGTCCATATTTACACCTAAGATATAATGAGATTAGCAGCAGAGCAGCCTTGGCAGAAACCAAACTGAGCAGCAGTGTGCAGATTATTGTTGAGCAAGTGCCGCTTGCTAGAATGACCAACTACTTCTATCCCTTCATTGAAGAATGAGCAGACCGGCAGGGCAGTAATTAGCGAGTTGTATTGTTCCTGCTTTTGGTGGGCAGGATAAACCTGGGCAATTTTCTTTGTTGCTGGATAAATGCTGCTGTAGTTGGTACTCGGGGAAGTTAATCTGTTCTGTTTGAGGATTTGTTAGTCTTTAGTGATATTATTTTCTCTGCAACATGTTTCTATTAATTTTGCCATGTCTCCATTCCCAATTCAATAGTAGTTTCCTTGAGATCTCGAACGTGCTGACCATTATATTTACAGGCACAAAGTTATTGTCGTCCCTGTCCATTATTCCTTTATTTTGCTTGCTAACATTAGTTTATGTGGTTCAAATTACTACCTCACCACCCTCTTTCTCCTAACTCAATTGTGAAATGCTTTGCATCAATGTCGAGATTCGTTCTAAGGTTTGTTTCATATTCACTTTTTGGGGCACTTATTATCTAGTTGCTACCTTACATTGTATTCAGACAGTGTTTAAATAAAACAAACAGATTGAGATTGCCATGGTTCAAGTATACCTATACTTTGCCAAAATAAAATTTGAAGTTCAATGCAGACAAGCATGAGCTGATGTATTTTGGTGGGAAGAACATAGACATAAAATAAGAAATAAGGGGAAAAATTCTAAAAGGAGTGCAGCAGAACAGCGACCTGGGTATATATTTGCACAGATTATTGAAAGAAACAGGACAGGTGGAGAGAGCAATGAGGCTTTATTATTGGGGCAGAGTACAAAGCAGCAAGGAGGCAATTTTCAATTTGCGTAAGACACGAACATACTGGAGAGAACGCAGAAGAGATTTTCAAGAATAGTTTTACGAAGAGATACTTCAGTTATGAGGATAGATTGAAGACAATGGAACTGTTCTCCTTAGAGAGAAGGCGGCTAAGAGATTTGATAAGGGTTTTTAAAACCACGCGTGGCTGGATAGAATAGAACTATTCTCTCTTGTAAAAGGAACAAGAATGAGACAACATAGATATAAACTGATTTCCAAGTTTAGCAAATGCATCAGAGTTGGATAGGTCTAGAGCACAGAAGAAGGTCCTTTGGCCCAAAAAGTCTGCACTAGTCAAAAAAACAAGCACCTAATTATTTGAATCCCACTTTATACCACTTGGTCCATAGCCCTATATGCCTTGGCATTGCAAGTGCACATCTAAATATTCAAATGTTTTGAGTCTTTTGGCTTCCACTACCCTTACAGGCAATGAATTCCAGATTTCCACCAACCTCTAGGTGAAGATAATTTCCTCACATCCCCTCTAAATCTAACCTCCTGCTCCTTAGTTAAATCCATGCCCCCGATTATTGATCCCTTCACCAAGGAAAAAAGTTTCTTCCTGTCTAACCTATCTATGCCCCTCATAATTTTATACACCTCAATCACGTCCCCCCTCAGTCTTCTCTGCTCTCGGGAAAACAACTTCAGTCTATCCCATCTTTCTTCATAACTAAAACTTTTCTGCCAAGGAAACATCCTGGTAAATCTCCTCTGCACCTTCTTTAGTGCAATCACATCCATCCTATAACGTGGATTCCAGAATTGCACAATATACAATATCGGAAAAATCTTTTTCATTCATTGAGTGATTTGGGTCTAGAATGCACTGCATGGAAAAATTAAGGTGGCAGATTCAAGTAAGGCATTTGAGAGGGCACTGGATGATTATTTAAACAGAAACAATGTACAGGTTTATGTACAGGCAGACAAAGAGCACCAAGTCATAATGCTCATTTGGAAAGCTATGACAGACATGATGGGACAATTGGACGCCTTTGCACCAAATCTGAGAAAAAACTCACTTTCTAGTTGCTCAAACACAAACACTTCAATTTGGTTCATGAGTACGTGCTGTTGAATATAAAATAGTAGTTTCCAGAAACCAAGTGTATCAACTTTCAAAAGGTACGGACGACATTCCAAACAATGAATTAAGATTGTCGTTATCGATTCAAAGTTGTCTTTTATATACAAACTAGGTAGAAAAAAAATTAGGGGTCTCCCATTTAACATTGAGAAAAGGAAATTTTCTCTCTCAAAAGATCATTACTCAGTTGAATTCTTTTCCTCAGAGAACAGTTACTGAACATATTCAAGGCTGAGTTAGATAGGCTTTTATTCTGCCATGGAGTCACAGATTAGGATGGACAGATGGGAAAGTGGAGCTGAGGCATAATCAGATAAACCATGATCAAATCAAAGAGTGGAGCAAGCCTGAGGGGCTGAATTACCTAATCCTGCTTGAAATTCTTGTGCATCAAATCAATTAATGCCAAAAACAGGAAACTCATTCAAGTGAAAACCGAAAGAACTGCGGATGCTGTAAATCAGGAACAAAAACAAAGTTGCCGGAAAAGCTCAGCAGGTCTGGCAGCATCTGTGAAGGAGAAAACAGAATTAACGTTTCGGGTCCGGTGACCCTTCATCAGAACT